AAGGCTAGATTGTTGTTGTTGGTCATAAATGACTAGTTATTCAAGTTTCTTGTTCATATATTTGGAGTTAAGTTTGTGTTTTCATAGACTAAGTGGTGTGGTGTTTAGGTTCATGAGATTTGGTTGAGGCAATATTCAAATTTAGTAAGTTCATAATTTAATTAGCAAATTTGATCTCCTCAAACGATACTTCATATGTTGACTATGTAATGGGAGAAAAATCATTAAAAACCTAGAGGTTGCAGCTAAAGCTTACGATTGATTACGTGAAGTGTTAGATATGTTGAAGATTTTACATCCGAAGCTCCCAAGGATTTGTCATAGGTTTGGAGATCACAGAAAAAGCTTTTCTAATTGCTTTCTTTTATTATTTTCATGATTATGAGAATACTAGCCATTTATGTTCATTTACAGCACGATAAGTTGTTTTTCATTTGGTTATCCTATAACATCAGTGTAGACACACATAGTTTCTTATCAAACTGCTATTATGTTGCAATAGGTGAAGTCACCAACAATACCACAATTGCCAAGACAGAAAGAGTTGGTCTCTTCTTTACCTCTGATTTAACTCTTTCAAAAGGGTGATCGAGTTGTACACTCCACACTCCACACACCACACACCACACAGGCACAGATAAATTTCATTACATCAACAGTTGTAAGCACTATAACACAACGAGGCAAAAAACCACATCAATTTTTGCCATAAACCGACTACCTTAGAAACTCTAAGGTCATACATAAACAACACAATTTCTACCACACACACAATGACAGAGACAAAACAAAATGAAAACGAAAAAAAAGAAAGAAAGAAAGCATCATTGAAGTACAACTTCTTCTCTAGAACCATTCAATTGTGAAAACAAAACTTACCTCGAAAGCAAAATGGTCGACAATGCCAGCCCCTACAGACCACAACCCCTACGAACTTAACAAGTCCACTTCACCCCAACGTCACCGTCAAGCCAACCCGATAACTCCCCACCACTACCGCAAATGCCAACTAGCACGACCCACCACCCTGCCGAAAACACCACGAACCCACCCACACAAACTACAAAACACCAGCCACCAACGACCACAGCTCTGCGGGAGAACGCCCCAGAAATGGACCTGCACCTTCTGATGCTTGGCTCAGGGCAACCGCGGGACAAAATTTTGGTAATTTGGGGGAGAGAGGGATTCGAAATTTGGGCAAAGGAGAGGAAAATTAGGTCTTGGGGTTTGGTGTTCTCGTTGGAGAGGAGAGGAAGATGACGTTTTGGAGGAGCAAAGAGGAAGGGTTTTGGACGACGAAAATAGGGCCGGTGAGAAATGAATTGTAGAGAGGAAATAACTTGATTTTGGCCAAAATACTTCGAAGACATTACCGAGGGCCCATAAGCCGTCGGTATTTTATTTCACCACTGCATTACCGAGGGGTCCTAGGTTGTTGGTAAAAAACCGCCAGAAAAACCCACATTTCTTGTAGTGACACAATAAAATTTACACAATTATTTTTATTCTATTATTTATATTACACAATACTAATATTGTCATATGGAAATGTAGACATATCATGATATAGTTATAATTTTTAAGGAACAAGAATGAGTATGATAGGTGTATAGTTTCATATTTTACTTCCTCCAAATAACGTGTTAGATGAGTATTTGTAATTGTGATATTCTTTAGAGTTTGGTTGTTGAATGTGATTTATGAATTTTGATAATATGTATGCTTTTCTTTTACTTGGTATTTAGGAATGATAATATAATTTAATTTTATACTAATTTATTCTATTTTTTGTATTTGTTTGTGATCTATTTGTATGCGCTAATCATAATATACATGAGGAGATAATAATAAAAATTGAGAAGTTCTGAGTTTGTTCATGAATGATTAGAGTATAGTATTGCTTAGATATATAATTTTTGTATTGTATATATTTTCTTGGCTAATGAAGTATTATTTATGTTTCAAAAACTTATTTTTATTTTTTTATAAAAGATTTGATTTTATGTTCTTATTTGTTAGTTTATATTTTTTTATCAACCATATAATGTTTTAAATTTGTATGCTTTTCATTCACATGATTGATACTAAGTCATAGATAATATTATTTGTTTTTCTATAAACAAATCTCATAAACAAAACCTATTGAATGTATGTATAAGATAATCGGAATAAATAATAAACTAATTGCATTTGTACATGTGAAGCAATTCGACGTGTAAAGTTGGTGCGAGAGGGAGAAACCAAAAAAATTATTTACGAACTTGAATCCGTTTACTATCTAAATACTGATAAATTAACCCAGTATCATAAAATATTATAATTTTAATATGTTACCTTCATTCAGATTTATCTTACCAATGTAAATAATTTTACTTTTTATTAAGGTAAAATTTTTTACTTAACTCGTCGTCTAGTAATAGAAAGTACAGATTTTTAATACAGGTATTTTTTTCATTATAACTTAAATATATGTTAAGAATTATTCAAGAAAATAATAATGACATCACAATATTTATATCTACAAATATTAGTAAAAATTATTATTACTCAATTTGTAATTTTTCTGACAAAAACTTTAAATTATCTAATAATACATAATTATTCAAGTTCATACACATAGAAGATTTCATATTACTATAATATGGATTTTGATGAAACCTACATATCGATTATAATGGTTCTTAGAACAAATATTTACTTGTGTTCTCACAAGTATAAGTCAAAGTTAACACCTGAATAAAATTATGAATAACATATATAACACCGTAATAAATTAAAAAAATTATTTAATAAGTACTGGGCTTATATTCTTATTGGTATAAGTTGAGTTATAATTTATTAATAGAAAACTTTTTTACACAATAAAAATTAAATATTAATACAGATGTTACGAGTTTATATAATTAACTCGAGTATCTGCCTTTTGCTAATTAATATAACAATTTATAAAAAAATATACATAAAATGCATTCATAAGTTCAAATATGTAAAGATCGTAATTGCTATTCAAATTGCTACCGTGGGATCGATGCAGCTCATACTTTCATAAATTACAATTTGTTATCCGGTTATGAAAACATAAATATTATTTTTGTGTTAAACTAAAATTAATTCACTCCACAAAAATAAGAAGTACCTCACACCTTTGAAAATCTTAATCCTGAAGAATTTATTATGCTCTTAATTAATAAATTAATTTTATAGAATAAAAAGGGAATATCGTTAGAATATCGATAATTTATTTTTTTATAGATAACAAATTATGTATGGTACTAGTAAGAATTAATTATTCGTTTTATATAACAAATAATAAAAACTCGTAATAATTAAAATAATTGTCCCTCCTTTTATCCATAATTTTCAATTAGGTATACCTTCCTTCTTTGTTTTCTTCACTTCTCTATCGGTCAAACAAGAATTTATTTTCTTTCCAATAATTTAAATAATTCTATTTGATACCCTCAGATAAAATAATAAGACTACTGAAAGAAACAGTAGAAAAATGATTATCTTTTCTCTAAATTTGATTACTGAAAATATCTATATAAATTTTAGATGGAACACGAAGGATCCAATCACTTAAATTTAACGTCAACGGTTCTAATTTCATCTAAATGGACCAATCAATCTTAAAAGTTGAGCTATTAAGTCAACACTGAAGGTTGTTTAATTAATAAACAATCTTAACAGTATGACAGTCACACAGAAAGAGATTGTTTGTTATTTTTAAGAAAGAAAACATACACATTACACATTATTGATCTGAGGTGCACAGTAGCAGCTTTCTTTTTCTTCGAATGATTTAGTTGTACTGAAACTTTCTCCATCTTTTTAACATCGATGATGATGATGATGATTCTCAGCACCTTGCTATAGTAGTACCACTGTTTATCAGACAAACTGTTATTTGTGTCAGATAAATATGTAATAATTGGTTACAATATGCCTAATTTCTGACAGCTACCTCAGGATCTCACTTAGAGTTTTTGTCTCATTCATATAGTGAGATCCAATGTTCTGCCTCTTTCCCCTTGCTCCTTAGAATGATCTTGTGATGATTTTCTCAACCTGCTGCTGAGATTATAAGAGGAGGAGGATTGAGAACACAAAGACAGTGATAGATTGCTATCAATTTCATGCTCCACCATGCTTCCATGCTTCTCGTCACTGACCCTTGAACTTAATTTAAGTGACAGATTCAAATCAATGTCAGAATCTGAAGCCTTCCTTTTCAAGCTCTTTAGTTCCACCAGATTTTTTGAAGCAATATCATTGTTTGGCATGAGTTCTTGTGCACTTGGCTGCATTAATTCTGTAGATTGATGAGGATCTTCTTGGTTCATTTTGATTGGTCTGCAGAAGGATTCATTGAAACCGGAAGAACAATCAACTTGGAGTACATTATGACTCCAATTCATGTTACTATTGGTTCCATGAATTCTCTCAGTCAATCTGCTGCCACAAAATTCAGCTCCAGATTCATCAACCGAACTCCTATTCATGCAAGTTTTCACCATGTTTTCATAGATAGCAAGAGAAGCATCCCCATATCCATATCTGTATAGAAAGAAGAAAGAATGGTATTCAGTTGTGAAATTCTAAATGCATGTTTGAGAGAATTTGAAGTGAGAGTTGGTGGTATTATGTATGTGCCTGTATGCTGAAGTTTGGGTTGGATTGTAGCCTTGAAGAATGGGAATTTGGCTGAGATTGTAAACGTTTCTGTCTCCAGTTTCTACTAGGAGCCTAGGATCACCCAATACTGTCATACATAATCCAAATATTCATTAGGGATTCTAAGCATTACAAACCCTAATTAATTACTTACTCAAGGTTTAGCATTATACCAAAAAGGGAAACCTTATTCTACCTTGATTTGCCTCCACCTTCTTGCTCCTGTACATCTGGAAAAGGAAAAACATGGGCAAAAGAAAAGAATTTAACCAAATTGGCAAAAGAATTACAAACAAAAACTGCTATTTAAAGAAAACCTTAGCCAGCACATGATTTTACCTGTAAATGACTCTTGACATGAGCAATACTTAAACCTTTGATATTCATCAACTGAAGAACCAACTTTGGGGTTGCTCCTACACGCAAGAAAAGCAAAAAAATGATCAAATATAACACAATTGAAATTAATTGTGAATTAATTAACCTGGCAAGGGCTAATGATAAATTGAAATCTAGAAAAAGTAAGTCATATGGAACTCACTCTCTTGTCCTCCAAGTCTTTGAACAGCATGAACAAAGCGAAGATGAAGATCAGGTGTCCAACGTAGACGAGGCAACTTGGATCTAACATAAGGTCTCACTGTTGCCTTCTTCTCGTTCTCTTCCACAGTGCTGTTGCTTGAGCTTCCTCCATTGTTGTTCTGCTTACTCTCATCTTCATTCTCCTCTTCACTCTCTTCACAACCTTCTTCATTGGAAGGACTTGTCTTGGAACATTCTGAGACGTGTCTCTCTTCTTCCATCCTCATCACCTTCCGAATACACTTCCTTGGAAACTGGATTTTAAGATCACAATTTCAAGCAAGACAGAACAAACACTTTCCTCTATGTCGCAATATGCTAATTATTGGTCGGAATTATACACTTTTTGCAACTCCTCCAATTGTTCTTTCTCCTCTATTAATCTTGGCCAATGAAAAATACGAAATTCTTTATCATAGCAACACCAAATGGCTACATAAATCGATGACAAACATGGCATGCCCAGATACTGAAACAGTCTAGATCGTATATTGATTTTCACAAAGAATTTAGAAAGAACTCTCTCTCTCTCTCTCTCTCTCTCTCTCTCTCTCTCTCTGTCTCTTTGAGATGAGTAAACGAATAATTTGGTTCTCATATCGTAAGCATGTTGGAGTATTTAATAAATGCATGGACATCAAGGAATGGAAGGAATATACAAGATTATTTCATTTGACATCAATTTTATCGTTCCAACTTGGATAACAATTTTTCTTTTTCTTTTTACGTGATAATAATAAAGTAGTTCGTGTGAATAAATTATAGCCAGTCACAGCAATTGCTTAGTTTAAAGTTTGTAGAGCCGTACATAGCATACTGTAGGCAAAAGTAAAATATGTTCTCCGAGAAATTTGAAACACGAGTCTCAGTCTTCTCATCACAAAATACTATATAACTTATACTAAATAAATAAAGAACAAATAGGTCTCAGCACATATATATGTATATTAGTACATTTTAAAATAATTCATATATAAATTTTTAAAACATTATTAATGTTGTGTTATGCCTGTTTGTGTTGTGACAAGGTACCCAAAGTTGACTCTGATGACAATCTGATTGAAGTGTGGCTCTCAAAAGCCAAGATCTAAGTTATATTATTCATGTTATATCTTTAGTTATATATAGGTATCTCAGATTATTTTGTTGAAGTAGGACGTTGTCAATTTATTTTGGATCCATGTAAATTCTCCCTACCTAAATGTATTATATAATAATAGTGTTTGTAGGTTTTTACGAATGTTAGATGGATTGGATCACAAGTTAATAACTAGAGTAATATTAATGCTTATTATTAGTAATCAATAATGGATTCAAACGAGGATTTCTTAAAAAAAAAAACCTGATTCATATTTTTTTAATTAATACCATATGTAGTAGGAAGATATCAAGGTGCTTAAAAAAAGTGTAGCATAATTAATTATGGTGAGTTAGATTTGAATGAAGAAATGGGCTGTGAACTAATTGTGAGAATATAAAAATAATACTAAAATATGCTTATGCCTTAATTTTTGCCTTAATAATAAATTAGAACATGGTTGGTAGAACTGGATAATGTCATTCTTGCCTTAATTTTTTATGTGCACCAAACTTTTTCCAACCGAATAAATCACTAAATAAGCTCAAACAAACATACACTATTTTTTTTAACATCACATATATGAAGTTATCCTAGTTTTATCAGGTAGAAATTATTAAAATATTATAAATGCAACCAAAATGTTTAGAACTAGAATCTTAAAGTCATTTGTTAAACTGAAAATGTTGCATATACGAATGATTTCAGTATCTATAGTTTAATATGTCTGAAGAACTAAAGTATTGATAAAGAGGGTGAGTTTGGGTATTTAGAAAGATGATAATTAAGTAGCTATAAGAGTGATTATTCATGAGAATTTGGAATGAAAGCAAAAACATATTGAAGTGGGCAGCAGCAGACATAGAAAAGTAATATTGTGAATATGAATGAGAGTAATTAAGAAATGTATGAATAAACAGCAGTGAGAAAGAGAAGGAGGGTTTACAATATTTGATTGATTCGTGTGAAATGTAATGTGATGCTGTGCTGTCTCTGATGCAGACCCAAACCTCACAAAAAGATTGTTTATATATCACATACATGCCCTTTCCTCGGGAATCACGGGGCCTCCTTCTCCCTACAACATTATTTCCTAATTTTTCTTCTCTTTCAATTTTTTAATTTCCTTTTCTTATTTCTTTTTTTTTCATTTTTCAATGAGAAGGCCGATCATTCATCACAGTTTGATATAGAAAAAAATAAAATCATCTTATTACCATAATCTAACAAAATTGGTTGTAAGATAAATTTGTATCCATTCTATATTATATATTTTGTAAGCACTTTTTATTTTTTTTTTTAAATTTCAGATCAACTAGAAATAATTTAGAGTATATATACGTGAATACAAGTCTCATCTTATTAGTCATTTTTTGTAGAATTAAACTAAATTTAAAGTTTATTTCTTAACATAATATTAGAGTCATGATTTAAAGCCTTTATTGGTTGAGTATATCTATGGATACAAATCTCACATTGTAAATCGATTTTATGAGGTTTTGAAATAAGTTTAAAGTTCATTCCTTAACATATTTATAATTGATATATGAAATTTTTAACACACATTTTAGGATAAGATATATACATCTAAAGTAAAGTACTAGACATTAATGGTAATCCAATATCGATTCAATAGGTCCAAAAAACAATAAATATTTTCATAATGATACAATAAACTTAACCAAGAACAAATCTTGTTAGGATAGACTTTGTATGGTTTTGATATCATCTTAAAAAGTAAATTTTAAACTTAACTCAACCTTACAAAATTAATATATTAGATCAAGTTTATATACAGTTATATATTATAAATTTATGATCAATCCTCAGCAAATTAAATATTATTCAATTTAAAATTTTATGTGGGTGATTATTTTTTGAGGTGTGTGGAGTGAATATTTTGACAAGTGGAAAAGAGTTGAAATTGTTGGGTGTGTGATAGGGTTGTGTCATTCTCTTTGGTGGGAGAAGAGAATGCGTATGGTTGGTAATTAAAGGAAGCTTTTTGATTCCTCACTCGTGCGTAACCGTGTGGACATCTCTGCATGCATGGAAGGTGCATGACTGGGAAGAAGAAAAGGCAAAGGAAAGGAAATCTTTTGTGGTTTTGTAAGAGTCACGAGCTTCTTGATAATGGTAGGTTTTGCAACTTCAACATATGTCAACTTTATTGTTCTCCATTCCACCATCTCCACTCCACCTATTAATTCTCATTCCCAACTACTCACAAATTATGTACAATATATATATACATATCATTTTTTCTAATGTATATCTCAAATAATTGCATTCCTCAACTTTCAAACAATCACTCTTTCTTTTCCTTTTTACCCCTTACTTTATATTAGCTTAATATTTTTTAAATAGTTTACTTTTAATTATTGTATTAGAAAATAAATTTTATAAATGAAAATAAACATTTTTAAAGTTTTTTTGAATAAATTAAATTTTATATTATATATATAGAAAAAAATAAAGGTGAATATATGTATATTAATGTATTTTACATATTTTATCAACTTGTTTTCTTAAGTCTTTTAAGAGAGAAAGGTCTAAAGGTTAATGGAAGAATAATAATTATGTTTATATTTATTTTTAAAGTTATAAATAGAAAAATAAACAGTTTTATTTTTTGTTTTACTTAATTTATTATCTCTTGAAAATAATGATTTTTTTAGAAGTTTAATTTTTTTTCTTTTACTTTCTTTTAGTGCTTTGAGATAACTAAGAGAAAAAAAAACTCTTATTTTTTATCGGTGAATGAAGGAAATTTAAGGTCATTGAGAACTTTATTTTAGGATTTCTTTTTCTTGAATTTCAAATTCTCTATGATTTGTTATGAGTTTTTGCTATAAATGTCAAAACTTGTGTTTAGGAGGAATAAGAACATGAATATATAACAATAGAATAAAAACAATACAGATTCAAAGAACCAAACATACACATATGTGTGTTATGAAGAAGAAAGAACAATATATAAAATAAATGGAAGAGAAAAACTTATATAAGAGAATGAAAATTGTCAAGTCAATTTGAGATGTTATTTAATAAGAAGATTTTTTTCCCTTTCAAAGTACCATAGAAACTCTATATAAATCACTCTTTTATTATCAAAATTTATTTATAGAGGGTTAAAATAACTATTTATAATGTAAAACCATCTAAAATTCCTCCTACTGACATTCTAAAATGACTAGTATATTCCTGCAACTAAAAAGCAAGGGCTTTGGTTTACAATTTTATGTTTATAATTATATCCAAGCAATTTGATTAGGTTACCATCTAACTTTGGAGCGGTTGAACCAATAAAATCTCAATTCAACATCATTTTCATATATTGTGGGTTTTCCACTCTACCGCAAAAATTAACTAGATTCTTTTTTTTTTCAAATATATATAATAATGATAGGATTTAACTTTGGTGTTTCAACCTTTTTTTAAAAAAAAAAATCTGAAGTATTATTGAAAAAAAAAACGATACATAATAATGATAGGATAGAACTTCTTCTAATGTTCTAACATTTTGAAATAATACCCTGCAAACTTAATTGGTCACTCTTTGAAGCCTATTAAAATATATACAACTCATGATCTTGAAGAGAATAAGCGAGACTTTGTGGCCTATGTGTTATGCTGGTTATATTCTAAAGTCTTACATCCACAATTTTATAATATTATGATAATAATAATAACAATAGAATAAAAGAATAATATATTAATAAAATGGTTAGATAGTTATAAATGAACTTTTAGTCATTACAATAAATAATAAATAATAAATAATATATATATATATATATATATATATATATATATATATATAAGACTGATGAAAATAAAAAAAAAGAATGATAATAAAAATAAGTTTAAGAATTCAACAAAAGATATTGAAAGACTTGTATTAGTATTTTAGTATGTATAAAATTAAGCTTTTGTAATAAATCATATAGTTAACAAATTTTGTGTAGGATATAGTTTAGAGAATTACAAAGTAGTGTTACACAAACTTTGACATGATCACTTTAAATTGTGAGATTTGCTTCAATTTTATGCATCATCTTAAGTCGAGTCCTTTTCTATTCTTCTCAATCTCCTAGAAAACATTTTAAGGGTTTTGATGCAGGTACCCATTTTAATTTGGGTCCTTTCATGTTAGGAGATGTTAATGGTTCCTTAGGAATCCATTTAAATTTACCTTTAGGAATTTCAAAATTTTTGTAATAATATGAATTTGATGCATGACCTAATTTGTTGTAGTTAAAACAGACAATGGAATAGGGTTTACTTATGTCAATAAACCTTCTGGTTCTTAATCTACTATTTTTACCAGCATACCCTATTCCTTCTCTGTTCAACACACCCCTTTGTGAACCAAGAAGAGCATCAAGATTTGAACTACCTAGTGTGAATTTTGATAAAGTTTTTATAAGATATTTAATTCTTTCCAACTGTCTTGGACAAATTTCACACTCTTGATCACATTTCTTGTTCACATGCATAGTGTTTTGAG